CGAAGTTACGGAAAAATCAATTAACAAACGGAGACGTAACACTATTATTACTCTTATCCGTAAGGTTAAGAGTATACATAATTAGTCCATTAAATGAGGAATTACTATATAAGTTAGATATGTTTGGGTATAATTTTATTAAGCTATGAAAGAAATACGGGTTTTTCTATCTGTGACCTCCTCACTACGGGTATCGAAACCGGTTTCTACTGTTGTAAGTCCGAAAGTTAATACGAAGAACGGACGCATTTACGAACTATGATTATTTTGAAAGCTAACCCGATACTAGCGACACTTACTGGAATTATTGTTCTTTAGGGGACCTTTGGTATTTAACAATGAATATAACATATAAAGAAGATAAAACCGGTCAAGAAAATTCAGACATAACAACCTATTTGAAAATAACTAAGACGCTTATAATTCAAAAGGCTCCTACCTCCAAAGTGTAAAGAATACAAACAGCAAAATTTGCATTAATAGCTCCTCTCGCTATAAACAGCAACACATAAACAAAAGCCGTTCTGTGGAAAAGAAAAATACAATCATTGAGCATTGTAGCTAATTACATAGTTAATAAAATATCTAATTTAATATACCTGTCTGGATTGGAGTAAACAATGTCATGAAAAGTTATGAATATTAGAACACATTAATTCTTCAGTTCGGTTTATCAATGATATCGATAAGCCAAATAAAATACGGTTTGTTTGTTTTGAATTTCGCGCAAAGCTACACGAGGGCTATCTGCGCAATCCGTCCCTAATTTAGTGGTGTAATACTAGAGGGAAGGCAGCTAGTCATCACCACCCACCGCTATCTCTTGTGCTACTCTTTACTCTACTCTGCTAATAGTGGGATTGACCGTCACATTATAACGCACCCGCGGCTGAACGGGCGAGTATGTTTTGTGTGTCGAGGATTGGAACCATATTCTTTTGATATATGTGTTTTGATTTGGTTTGCTTAAGTACCATATATGGCTAACATTTATCCCTGTAAAGATTCTAAAGTCTCAATCCCAATAGGTTTACAAGCAAATGGTATTATAGCACTAAAAACCGGGGTTCGATACCCGTGGTGGGTACAGCACAAATAGTCCATTGTGTAGCTTTCTGCCTAACAATAAAACAAACAGGCAAACAAATGGGGAACAAAACAAGATTCGAAAAAAAAAACAGTTTTCTCGTGTACCATAACAACTTTTGGGGGTAACTTGCCCATGGTAAAGCGATGCAAGGCGGATTTGTAATAACCATAAAGAAAAACGTGCAAAAAACACTTTTAATTACATTATTCTCCGCATTAGAAGCTAAATGTATAAGTACATTATAAGATACAGTTTCGTTATATTATATACTGCTTTATAAACTAAACAATATAGTTACATTATTTACCACTTCATAAGTTAAACACTTTTTATTACATTATTTATCACAGTATAAACTAAACAATATAGTTACATTATTTACCACTTTATAAGTTAAACACTTTTATTACATTATGTATCACAGTATAAACTAAACAATATAGTTACATTATTTACCACTTCATAAGTTAAACACTTTTATTACATTATTTATCACAGTATAAACTAAACAATATAGTTAAAGAGAGTATAAAACTTAGAGAATTAACATTGATTAAAAACTAATGACACTTATTGCTAAAAAAACTCGAAATCTAATCACGTTTTGAAATAACGCTTTCGTAGGTTCTTGTTACGTTTAACGTAAAACTACGTCCGAGTTGGAACTGAGAGTCAATAAGACTTACGGAAAACTGTCTGTTGCTAAGAGCAAAACCGACAACGCATACACCATAAAGAAAGTAAACAACAGCATTCGTCTACTAAATTTCTCCACCAGGAACCAGCAAATTCCAATACCTAGAGAGAGAAAAATAGAAACTTATGTAATTAATAATTTAAACCGTCAGTACTCGGTACTACAATAGAGTAATAAGTGAAATATCAGTTGGTTAGTTAGTTAGTTTTGAGTTTCGCGCAAAGCTACTTGAGGGCTATCTGCACTAGCCGTCCCTAGTTTTGATAGATCTGAGGGAAGCCAGCTAGTCAACACCACCCCCGCCAACTCTTGGGCTATTCTTTATCAACGAATATTGAGACTGACCATTACATTATACTGCTTCCACGGGGATGGGGTTCGAACCCGCATCTCTCAGATTGCGAGTCGAGTGCTCTAACTACCATGTGATGCCAGGCCGAAATATTAGTGAAACGTGAAACTATCTTTGTTTTCCTCAATTCTGCAGAAAATTATTTTCTCACAAGAATCCTCATTCTTTTACTTTTGTCCCCTGGTGGGACGGCGGTACGTTTAGGGACTTATGATGATAAAATCCGGGGTTCGATTCCATGCGGTGGCTACAACAGATAGCCCAATGTAGCTTTGCTCTAAAAACAAACAAATACACTTTTTATATTTTTTTCCGTAAATATAATCTAAGTTTGTCTCCGTGGCGTGTCCACTGGGGTAGTAGTAGGAGAGATCTTGTTGGAGTGCTTTATCCCCCATATTCCACCCCATCTTAGATATCAGTATTTAGACTTAAATTCTCCCCACATTGTGACTCACACTCACACGAAATTATGTTTGTTTTTTGGACTGGTGGGGGTAGTCATACTATGTATCTCCAATCAGATAAGACCTAGAAGGTGAGTTTAACTGTAGTTTGAAATAGCATCAGGCCGACGCGAGGCTGTGCAAAGATAGCCTAGAGTAATTTCAGCTTTTTTCATGATTTAAAAAATAATTGATAGATACTTCTTAAAGGCAAAAAAGCTTATATATATATTTTGTTGTTAATAACACTTGACCCCCTTTCTGATACGCGCCCCCACAACTAACTGTTTGCCCCCCTGTTTCCAGTAAAACCATTCTAGAAACGCTGTGGTATTTTCAGATCAAACTGGTTCCCGATAGAATTACCAGCCAATAATTGCAGGTTCGGTCCCGTGAAAATTAGATGAACTTTCCGAGTGACAGTACCAGACTGAGTTTGCATGCATACCATACTTTTTTCAGTCCATTTTGCGACAACAGGACTCGAACCATAAATCCTTAGATTAACAATCTGGTCATGCTGACTACTAGACCATGCCGGCCCCATAATCATTTGAAGGCTGACTCCTATTTAAAAAAACTTAATACACAATATTTTGTTTTTCGCGATATCCAAAAAATACGATGTTTTTACTTGCTTGTTATCACTTCGCAGTCTGCTTTTCCCAGCCTATACTTGAGTATAATACATCTGATACTTTACACTGTAACGTGCTCAATTATCTTCATGAAATAGAAAATGTTAATGTAATTTACTTTTATATTCCTCACTTGAAAATCATAAATCATTTACTGGATGTTAAAAAGTACTAAATAAACTTCATTATTACTTTTACTAGGCAAAAAATCTAAAGCGGTTCACCAGGGTTATAAGAACTCAGTCTGGTCCATTAGAATCTTAATAATCCAAAGTGGCCCATAAGTTCCTAAAAAAACAAACTGGTCCATCACTATCCTAAGAACCCATGGTGATCCACCAAGATTCTAAGAGCCCAGAGTGGTCCATTAAACAACTAATAATCCAAAGTAGACCATAAGTTCCTAAAAACCCAAGTTTGTCCATCACTATCCTAAGAACCCATAGTGGTCCATCATGATTCTAAGAACCCAAATTCATCCTGCCATTTTTCACATATTAAACTTGTGATTGAATAGAGATCCTTCAAGTCTCATGACAGTAATTTCCTATGAATACCTTTTATCAATACTGGAAATTGCTCTCTTGGTAAACCTAGGAATTAATATAAAACGTTCTTATGTATAATGAGAGAAGTTCTGGTTCGAAAAAGTTTTTTTTTTTTTTTTAAATTCAACATTAACTGAACGTGGATGGGCTATCGTGTACGATATGGTACGATGACTGAAATAGGGGAATAAATAAAACAACTGGTAGTTTGTATCACTGACTAACTCTATTACTACTTGTAATATAAGATATGGTCCAGGTACCCGGGAGTTCTGCTGCTGTGGTCCAGACCAAATGGACGTAGTCCGACGTCAGAAGTGGCATGCAAACCAAGTATCCTGATGAAACAGTCGAATTATTGGCGGTGTTTTGGTCATGTCTTTCAAAGCTAGTCGCTGAATAAAAAACAACAAAAAACACATATACACACAACGAATAAACATTTATCTGTAAGATCACTAAAGTTGTTAAATCTGTTGACTTATACGAGTTTTTTAATGAAAAAAAACTACACTTTTAAAGTTATGCGCTTTTACTTTGTTAGTTGTTTTTGTTTCGGTATTGTCACAATAAGGTAAAATAACTTCTTCATCCTCGGCTGTTGTCGGAATTCTTATTTATTTAGCGTTTATCTTAGCAAAGCTACACAATGGCCTATTCAAAAACAAAACCAAAGGCTCGAGTTTCTTCAATGTTTCGCGGTAACTTTGGTAAATTTCAAAACACTGATATGCTATTAAGTGCAAAGCTACACGAGAGCTATCTGCGCTAGCCGTCCCTAATTTAGCAGTTTAAGACTAGAGGGAAGGCAGCTAGTCATCACCACCCACCGCCAACTCTTAGGCTACTCTTTTACCAACGAATAGTGGGATTGACCGTCACATTATAACGCCCCCACGGCTGAAAGAGCGAGCATGTTTGGTGTGAGAGGGATTCGAACCCACGACCCTCAGATTGCGAGTCGAGTGCCTTAACCACCTGGCCATGAAACTCGAGCCTATTCCTATTTTCAGTGGTCTAGTAAGCTGTGGATCACTGGATCGAAACCCGTCGCCAAACATGATCGCCCTTTCAGCCGATGGGTGTAATAATTTTACTGTGAATCCCACTATTCGTTGGTAAATAGTAATCCAAAAGTTGGCGGTGGGCGATGTTGACTAACTGCCTTCCCTATTGTCTATCGCTTGATAATTAGGAACGGCTATCCCAGATAGTCCTCGAGTAGCTCTGCGCAGAATTCAACAAACAAATATACTCATTTAGTCGATGTGTTATTTACAGAGAAGTTTTCCACATAAACACAAAGACTTGGAATATAAGCTATGTATGCGATAAGTATTATTGGAAATAACACTTTTAGAAATTTTGGTATTTCAAACAAGTTGTCTAAATATTTTCAAAAGTTTTGAAAAATACAAATCGAGTAAACCTAGACTAAAATATCAATCTTGATCCCCAGTGAGACAAGCAGAATATTTTGCGCCCTAATTCACAGATTTTGGAGCTAGTAAAAAATAAACATTAGCTGTAACCTGCAAGAAAAAAAAAATTATCAATATGGCTGGTTGTCTTTAAATATTTATTTAGAGTCACTCACTGTTAAATGACAATCCTCCGTGCAAAATAACTTCAGGAGTCAGGAGTGCTATGCCATAGTATACAAAAGTAAGTATAATCCTATAAAATACAAAATATGTGTTAATATATTGATAATTTAAGTTACGCCTAATAGGAATTAGACGGGATGATTAATAAATTTTACGAAAAAAAAAAAGGATTACTGGTTATGAACAACTTAACCTATTGATAAGTTACGCCTAATAGGAATTCAACGGGATAATTCATAAATTTTACGAGAAAAAAAAGGATTAATTACTAGTTATGAACAACTTTAAATCTTTTTTTTTTTTCAACACTGAAAGGTTTTTTTTTTAGCTGTTAGTTTATAAGTTGCCCAGGAGAAAAATATAGTTAAAAAACTCGAAATAAAATCCAAACAAAAAAGAACATAAATTAAAAAAAAAAACTCTAGAAATAACAACAACAAAATTGAATATTATTTGTTAGATTCAATTTAATTAACAATGTTTTGGTCAATATTGAAATAAGGGCAAACTAAAATAAAATAATCAAATTGATTCTAACCGCAATCTTTAATGTTTTCGTTTGTAATTTTACGTATCAATTTCGAGTACGGTAGATATAGAAATAGGAAAAAAAGATGAATAAAAAGAAAACTTTAGCACACAAACCAAATGAAGTTCAAGAGAACGAAAACGCGTTTATTGGTTTTAATCATGTTGAACAAAGAGCCCTTCTGAAGTTCAGCTGATAGAATCGTTAGTTTACCACTAGGGAGACATTTTCCGTTAATCGCCGCCATCTTCAAGAGAGCGGCCTCTGCTTGTTCATTCTCTCCACAAATGAGCATGTGACGTGCACTTTTAGGATACCACTAGAAAATAAAAATGTCTACTTATAAACATGCTCAGTTACTTTCTAACAATAGTTTTACTTTATTTAAGAAGCTAACAATAATTGTTTGTTTGTTTGTTTGTTTGAAGTTAAACACAAAGCTACACAATGGGGGCGCTAACAATAAACAAACCTATTTTTGCCACGTTAACTAAGTAAAAATAAAAGTGTCTGAGTTCTAGGTTTCTTGCTCATTCAAAAGATTAAAATGAAAAAATAAGAGAGAGAGAGAAAAGCCTGTTAATTGGAATATTAATTTGAAGAAAAACATATGAACATTGAATTTTTCAGTGGAGAGCTACTAGAATATACATGGGATAGAAAGGTTTGTCGCATGAGGATAGGATAGGAAAGTTTCTAAGATACGGAATCAAAGAAACTCCTGGCGACTTGTGTTAATTGCTGCTGTTTTACCAACAATCATGTTTCTTTTTTTTATCAAAGTTAACATAACATTAAGGACAACAAGGGACCATTTGTTCCATATAGGCTGTCTTATTCAGTAAATTAAACTATATACTAAAAAAAAGAAATCAAAGCCAGCTCTTATCATTCAAGTATTTATCAAGATTTTCCTTAAACTCCGTTAAATTAAGTGCAGACGTCAAACCCTCTGTTAAAAAGATAGCACTGTCTTAGCTGAAGATAAGTCTTATCCTGCCAAAACTTATACTTGTGTCCCCTAATCTTACCATTCTCACTATTAGATATGAAAAGGGACGATACATCAATACTTCACTTTGCAATCTTAAACACCTCAAACATATCATCTCTAACTCTTTTTTTAAGAGAAAATAATTTCAAAGACCTTCCTAACCTATCCTCATGCGACAAACCTTTCTATCCCATGTACATTCTAGTAGCTCTCTACTGAGCAATTCAATTTTAAAGTTTTACCTTTGATAAGAAAAGAAAGATGATGACTGGTAAAACAGCAGCAATTAACACAAGTCGCCAGGAGTTAAGTGTTACCTTTGATAAGAAAAGAAAGATGATTGTTGGTAAAACAGCAGCAATTAACACAAGTCGCCAGGAATTAAACGTTACCTTTGATAAGAAAAGAAAGATGATGACTGGTAAAACAGCAGCAATTAACACAAGTCGCCAGGAATTAAACGTTACCTTTGATAAGAAAAGAAAGATGATGACTGGTAAAACAGCAGCAATTAACACAAGTCGCCAGGAGTTAAATGTTACCTTTGATAAGAAAAGAAAGATGGTGACTGGTAAAACAGCAGCAATTAACACAAGTCGCCAGGAGTTAAATATTACCTTTGATAAGAAAAGAAAGATGATTGTTGGTAAAACAGCAGCAATTAACACAAGTCGCCAGGAGTTAAGTGTTACCTTTGATAAGAAAAGAAAGATGATGACTGGTAAAACAGCAGCAATTAACACAAGTCACCAGGAGTTAAGTGTTACCTTT